TTTTTTTTTTTTTTTTTTTTTTTTTTCAATGTTTTCTCGATCCCCCTGAATTGTGCAATTGCCAGCGTTTTGATTAATGGCGTTGCAGGAGTCTGGATGATATGCTGCTGTGGCACTGCCTTTTTTCTTCTTTTTTTCCCTAAAGATGATGGGCTGGTGATGGCATGGAAGGGAAGAGGACTACAGGGTTAATACAGTCTTTGCGTGAGAATGGAGAGAAAAAGAGTACACCCATAAATCACACTCCGTTGCGCGGGCAATGATGCTAACTAAGGGGAAATGAACGACGTCTTTCATCAACTTCAACCCAACCACAAACAAGGGTAAAAGCCCTTCCATCATTCATCACCTGTTTAATGGTATGGCCATGGTGGACCTACCCCCTTCTATTATTATGCAGTAGTGGTTCTTCTTGTACCCCTCTTGCTCTTCGATAGTAAACCCGAATGTCCCTGTCGTACTCTATCTCCATCCGATCTTCCATACCCGAAATATTATTACTCACCGGAGTCACTGCCATCAACTGACGTGGAGTCTATCTCATGATCTTAAGCCTACTACCCTACAACAAAGCCCCTTCTCTTCTGTCTGTCCGATCTTTCCGAACCTGACCAAATAAATGTAACCGAGCCTACCTAGGTTCAAAGAATCAAGACTATTTTCACTGACAGCTATTTGCCCAACCCTGACCTGCTGCCGCTGATGGAAATGTGAATTAAGTTTGCACCTATTTGTGTGTACTTGGTCATTAGTTTCCTACTTGCTTTGATCTTAATTGGCCTTTCTTTCTTATTTGCTTCTTCATCCACTCTAACTTCTGTGGAAAAAAACTGTCAGCTTTGGAATGTGGCAGTATTTTTGTCCATAACTAGATCCATAGCTAAATCCATGGCTAAATCCCTATCTAAACCCATAAATCCCTAGCTAAATCCATAGCTGAATCCATAGCTACATCGAAAGCTGTTACACGCTGTGAAGCTGTTATCTTGCCTCGACGGAACCTATAACCAAGCCGTCTTACCCTTCTTTACAAGCTGTGCTTATCCCCTAATCTATCCTCCCGGACGGGACCTCACTAAGGTCCACCCTGACCTCCCGAGGTGGTCCGAACCTCCTTGAGCTTGTCCGGAAACACCTTCTCCGCCCACCCCAGCATATCAAGCTCATCCGAACCTTCTTATCCTGACCTTCCCGGCTTGACCAGACGTGGCCCCCTTACCCGAACCTACCTTGCTGGCCTTTGCCTACCTTACTCATATAGACTGCACCTTAGCTTACCTAAGGCAAAGCTAGCCTACTAACCTAGTCACTCCCCCCCCACCTATCAAGTTTATCCGAACCTTTCCCCAGCTTGACCAAACCTGCCCCTCATACCCTACCCCTGCTAGACTTTGCCTACCTTACCCATCTAATCCACCTTAGCTTACATAGTAGCCGAAGCCCAACCTACTGACCCGGCCACCCTGCCTTGCCTACCGAGCCTTGGTAGTCCTGACCTACCCTAACCCATCAAGATCTGCCTTACTCTACCCAGCCAAAGCCTGGCCTACTAGGCTACCCACCCTAGCTAGGTAGTCTACCGAACCTCACCCTTTACCCAGCTTAACCGAACCTCAAAGCCTGGCCTACTGACCTACCCACCCTACCTGAGTAGGCTAGCGAACCTCACCCTTATAGTCTAACCGAACCTAGTTTGCGGAGGTGGAGCAAAGTCATCAAGTACAGTGTAGCTACGGGGTGGCATCCCCCCCGCTCCCCCCCCGGCTCCCCCCCTCTACCCCCCAGCTGCTACCGTAGCTCGCTGGGTCTTCCGAACCTACCAGTAGTCCCGTGGGTAATGCCGGGGATACCGGAGGGACCACGGGGACAGTTGGGACGCATGGGAAACTTGGGCCCCGTGAGGCACGTGCGAACTGCCCTGGAAGAACCGGCGGGAAAGGACAAGAAACTTCCGCGGCAAGCCAAGAGCGCGGGAAACGGAAAGAGCACGAGCGGCAGCGGCGAGGGGACCAAATGCGCGGGAAAGAGGAAGAGCACGAGCGGCAGCGGCGAGGGGACCAAAAGCGCGGGAAAGAGAAAGAGCACGAGCGGCAGCGGCGAGGGGACCAAAWGCGCGGGAAASAGRAAGAGCACGAGCGGCAGCGGCGAGGGGACCAAAAGCGCGGGAAAGAGGAAGAGCACGAGCGGCAGCGGCGAGGGGACCAAAAGCGCGGGAAACAGAAAGAGCACGAGCGGCAGCGGCGAGGGGACCAAAAGCGCGGGAAACAGAAAGAGCACGAGCGGCGGCGGCGAGAGGAGCAAAGGTCAGCTTTCGTGTCCACGTCTTAGCAGCACAGACGTACAAAACGGCGACAGCGCGGGAAAGGGGATTAGCGCGGGAAGCAAGCTAGTTCTTATAGCGGCGGGAAAGGGGACTGACGCGGGAAGCAAACGAGTTCTTGTGGCGGGAAAGGGGATTAGCGCGGGAAGCAAGCGTGATCTGCCGCGCACCACAACAACCGCAATCAGAGATGCGCAGGGGAGCATAGAGGAGCAGCAGCGACACACACACAGCCGCGCAGCGGAGGCGGCAGTCGAGCGAGCGGGATTGCAGGAGAAGGAGAAGGGGGAGGAGGAGGGGAAGGGGAGGGGAAAGGAGACGACGACGACGACGAAGAAGAAGAAGACGACGACGATATCGAGAAATCTGTCCTCGGGATCGGAAAATCCGTTGACGTCATCGCAAACTCCATCGGTCGAAGCTTTCGAGAAGTATCTCGACGATATCGAGAAATCTGTCCTCGGGATCGGACAATCCATTGACGTCATCGGAAACTCCATCGGCGCGTTCACGCGGTCCGTCGAAGCCTTCGGAAACTCCGTCGACGTCATCGATAAAACGGTTGACGTCATCGGTAACTCGATCCGCAACGCGGGACGAAGGAGGAAGGTCGGTGGCTATGGCGGCCGAAGAAGAATCCCTGTTTCCTTCTGTGGGGCACACTTCTTCTTCCCTTGTCCTTCCCTCTCTCGCTTTTCACCCTCTGCTATTCACTATATTTGTGGTTTCTTCGCGTTTCTTTTTTTTGTTGTCGTCTTCTTAGTGTTTCTTTTTTTTGTTGTCGTTTTCTTCGTGTTTCTTTTTTTTGTTGTCGTCGTCTTCTTCGTGTTTCTTTTTTTGTTGTCGTCTTCCCGTTGTTGTATGAAGCATTGAAAAAAGAAAAGCAAGCATATCTCCTTTTCTTTCTTCCTTGGGTTTTAGGGTAGTAGAGGCCCACGTGACCCTGGGGCGTGGTCCCACTACCATCTTCCCCCGAACACAACGCACCCTGATTTTCACTGTATCGGGCTTGAAACATACCTTGTATACGTTCATTTTCAGGGTGCGTTATGTTCGGGGGAAGACGGTAGCAAAGAGGGTCGGATCGAATGCCTGATTCTGGACGTGTTTGTGGAGAGGCGCAGGAGATCTAGATTGAACTGCTTTTCTGCATCTCTGCATAAAACACATTCAGATTCAGGAGCTCGATCCTATCCCCATTGCTAGTGGGACCTCGGCCCTGGTGGTCCTAGCCTTTCCTAATTTTTCTATTTCTTTTGGTTCTCCCATTTCCGCCAGTCTTCCCCCCTCCCCGCTCCGGTCTTTCCACCCTGCCTGTCTTCCCCCTTCTCTCCCACCGCTCTTATCTG